CGCTGGAGGTGCAGAGCCTGCAGTGCTCGGTGTTGGCCTGCAGGGGGCGCTGTTGGGTCACTGGAGGTGCAGAGCCTGCAGTGCTCGGTGTTGGCCTGCAGGGGGCGCTGTCGGGCTCTGGCGGTCACAGCCCGGGAGGGGTCTGGGGGTGGTCTCGGGCGTGGGAGAAGCCAAAAAGAGAATGGGGACCCTTCCCCCAATGGAAGAAGGGGGAAAGGAAAGCAGTCCACCCCCATGGAACTCACTGTTGTCCTCAGATGACGGTGTCCCAAGGCTCCTCCTTTCTTCTCCCAGTAAGCACAAAAACTCTCCGATGAAAATGCAGCAGGTCCGGGCCGGAGACAAAGACAGCCCGCCCGCAAGTCGAGGCCAGCAGTCAGGGCTGACCAGGGCGAGAAGCCAGAAAGACCGGCCTCCAGGCCTTCTCTCCAACAGCACGCATGCAAGACCCCCGTCTCCATCCCAGAGCACAAAGAGCTCAGCCAAACCTGACCTCTCCCTTCTGAGAAGAGCCAGCAAACCCCTCCCCCAAAACTCCTCCCCTCTCCCCCCAGCTTCTGATGGGCCATCCATTAGGAATGTGGTTTGGCCAGCTAAGTTCTTTTGTAAAGCTAATTGCCCCCCCTTTCCATTCAAGCTCTTTCCTACAGTGGGGGCAGGGGGAAGAAAAATTCCCCCCCTCGGATTTCTAACCTATAACAAAACCTCTGGGGATAAAGGGTGCTGAGGTTCCCTAGAGGAAACTGCCATTCTTTTTAGCAACATCTAACAGGAGGAAGTTAACTGCTACTTGAGTGTGTTACATCTGAAGTTACCTACAGTGATTATTTCATGTTCCTAAAAATAAAACCTCTTCCAAAAGAAAAAAGCTTCTTGTATGCACTTTGTAAAAGACAGAACTCTCAGAACCAGCTCTTTCATCAGACTATTAATACCTGATGTGAAAACCTAAAAACACATTCTCACATCTTCCAGATTTCAAAAAAGTCTTCTTTAGTAACTGATAGGTACTGAATAATGGAACAGTCATAAAAATGAGATTTTTCTCATCACCAAATGAATGTCTGAGAGCATATCAGTGTGACTGATTAATATTTTAGCATTAACTCACCATAAATACCAAAGTAAAGATTACAGTCTACTTTTTTATTTGAAAAGCTTTTATAAATAGTCTTGTTCAAAATATCTCATTTTAATCTCCTATCTCATATTTATACCTTGTAATTTTAATACATCCAAGGGAATATTCATTAGGGCATTTAATATAATTTGCTCAGATATATCTCTTGGTAAAATGTTATTTGATTTTAAGCATATAATGAGGCAACTATTTAATTCTATCATTTACTGTGCAGCTCTGTCTGCAGTCTGAATGTGACTCTTTGTTCTTTTCTTCAAACTTACTGTTTCCTCTAATTTTTACTTCTTTTTACTTTCATATGCCTTTGAAGATAATTAACTGTGTTCAATAAAACTTGTTTACACTTAATGTTTATTTTGAAGTTGGATGTTCCTTCTTGGATAGAAAGTGCTTTCTTCTTTAGAAGATTTCACACAGGTTTCTGTTAAAAAAAAAAAAGGACAAAAAGAAAATCCAGAAGAAACAGAACAACAAAATGACATGAAATTGCGCAACTACCGTAGTGCCAAATTATGGATTAACTGACCATTGTATCAGCTGGCACAGGCAGAACACAGGAACAACCACAAAACCAGGGAAAAAATGCAAAGAATACATTTATTTTTGTTACCTCACCAGCAGAGGGATCCCCCCAACCTATGATTGTAATTGACACTTGCAATGCAGGAAAAACAAAAACAATCATACAATTAGCTTCAGTCAAACCTTACAGTACCAAAAGATACAAAATGTCTTTTATATTCTGAAATGTGGCCCAGTCTTTATAACTCATATGGGGCTTCTGTAAAAACAAAGTTCACTTTACTTCTTATAATTGAATGGTAAACATGTTAGTAATTTTCTGCTTCAGACTTTGAAACAAATCAAATTCCATGTTCCAGTATTAAAATGTATGCTTTCCTATATTTTAAATTATTCAATTTGTACTTTACTGAAAAAATTTTTAGTATTTAATACAAAAATTTCTTCTTCTGCAGCAATATAATGTTTCAAAGGCATGAAGTCACATTCAGCTAAAATAAATTTTTTCTTTTAAATTTACACATTTTTAGACATAATGAAACATTACAAAATTTTTTCATCTATTATCCATTGCATAAGCAAGAAAGTTTCTTAATGTTTTCTATTTGAATGGCAGCTCCCTTGCAGTTTTTGAATGCTTATGGCCTCTGTTCAAATGTGTAGGTACCAAAAATATCGGAAAAACACATTCTTTTTACAGGTGTCATTTTATTCCCTTTACAGAAAGGAATTTAAAACTATCAATTTTTCTGTTGACTGTGATGAATCTGCTTCTTCCTGAAAATTTAGAATTACTTGCCTGATAACCCTGGATGACATTAAAAAGCAGGCAGTATCAGATGACTGAAATGAAAGAAGGGACATATGATACCACAGGATATGCAAAACCGCTGGAAGATTCTCAGGATCTTCTTTTACAAATGGTTAAGTGCCTCAGAGAGAAATTTATAGTACAGATCATATAGCATTGTTGAATAAATGCAGCACACTTGTTAGATGAACAATAGGCAAATATACAGAAACAAAAGAGTGGGAATACCCACATTAGGTTAATTTCCCATAAACAGCTGCTGTTTTGCCAATACCAATTTTCCTTCCCAGTCTAGAAGATACTAATACTAATTTCCTTCTGGTGTGTGAAAATACTTAGAAATAAAGATAACTGTACAAAGGAAACAGGAAACAGATATGCAAAGTTCTGGGGATGCCCAAGTAGGAAATGTGTGCTGGGAGGGAAATTTCTGCAGCTTATATGTAGTGATACTGAAACTTCTTTGTAACTACAGTGGATTAGATTTCAGACACGGACATAGGCACCTAGCAATTTAAACAATTATTTAAACAGAAGTACTGACACAAATAACACACTACTGCAGAATGATGGATACCTGGGGGAAGGGAAGGGGAAAGGAGGGAAGCAACAAACTTTGAACTTACTTCATTCTTCCCTGTAAATATCTTCACAGAATCTACACTTTTTTAAACAGAGGACATGAGAGAAATTTAGAACATGAGATACACATTCCATTACTCTACCCTGACTGTATGAAGGCAAGTCATAGTTTGTCCAGTTAGGTGAAAAGTGTTTTGAGCTAAGAAAAGTAATCTTTCTTGGCACAACGCCCTCCCCCGGGCAGCCAAAGCATATACATTATCCACTCTCTCTATTCTAGTTGGATCTAAAGAAAATCTAGAGAGAAAGGCAAAGAAGAAAAAAAAATAGTAATATGATCCTAAATTTTATTTTGGTGCTTGTGATTTTATAGCACATTAGTCACTAAAAAAAACCACCAAAACACTTTAATAATTCACCTTCAGGTAAAGCGCAAAGAGGCAGCCTTCTTTCTCCAAGTTTGAGAACCATGGCAAATCTGCAAAGACATTTAGCATGCGTGACAATTGAAAAGAAACTCTCAGGGACTGTGCTAGAAGTTTAAAAAGTCAAGTTTTGTGAATTTTCCTGGAGACACCAATCCCACTTAGAAAGGCTTTATTTAAAATTAGGTTTCTCCTTCCATGCCAAAAAGCCATCAGTCAGCACCTTGGTAGGATGCTGCATCCCTAAACAACCAACAAGGTAGTGTTGCCTAAAAGTGGCACTTAAAAGAAACCTCTGAAACTCAATCTATGAGTTTTAACAGGCAGGCTTTCCTTATTACAGTGTGCTGGATGATTTCATCATGATAGGTGCCCTGGTAATCATTTTGCCAATGTTCACACAGAGGTATCTTATAAATTTACATCGCGTGAGTATTCATTTTCATTCCCTGCATTCCTGTTACATATTCCTAACTTTTGACAACACTTATTAGCATATATACATAAGGTCTCTGAGGGGCTTTGCCAAGGGTCTTTGGAGGTCTTTTCTGTTTGGAACTCTCAAAATTCTAAGTGACTGCCTTATGAAAGACTTCAAGACAACTGGGTTGTAGAGTGGTTATAGAGTGACTTCGTGTTGCCTGCCTGGCTGCTTCAGTGCCCTTCTTGTTTCTTTATTTGGCTTGGCTGGTTTCTTTAAATAGAGGCTTTGGTTACATATATGGTACATTTCTGTGGCAAGCAGTACTAGCTCTCAAAACTCTGTTATGAGGAGCAACAGGATGCTACTTTGAGATATGAAAATAAAACAAATGCTTGAAGGCGTTTATGTAATTGCTCTACCCTCTCCAGTGCTCATTTGTCACTTCTGTCACAAAAGCCATTAGGGCCAATCTGAGTTTCAAAGCAGTTATGGGTCTGGACAGCTTTGCAGAAAACTCCTTCTTAAAAATTCTAACAGCAGTTTAGCTGCTGGAAAGGTGCGGGGGGTTAATGTCTGAACATCGGCTGTTTTCTCTTCTTTAGAAGCCTGGGTTCTGTTTGGCAGGAGGGGGGCAGGAGGGGCAAGGGCCCCACCAAACGAGAAAGGGTAAACAGCACCCTCATTGAGCACACAGGAGACCCCAAGCCCCGAAACACTGTGGTTGGCGTAGCCCGGACGGCACTAAGGGGAGCTGCCATTGACACTCCTGCGGCCGCCATGTGACACAAGCCTCCTCACGCAGCGTGGTGCCCTTCAACAAGATGGCGGCCTCCCCTTTGCCTACTCTACCAAGATGGCGGGCCGCACCTCCATTGGCGCTCGCCCCGTGCCGCCGCCACGCTATAGGCTGAGCCTCCGGCTTTCTCCGCCCCCCGCCTCTCACAGCCTTGCCGTGCTAGCAGAGAACTACATCACCCAGGATGCCCAGGCTAGGGGCATCTAGCCCCACCCCTTTTTAACGCAGCACGGCGCTGTCCCCCCGGGCCGGAGGAACGGGGCGTGGTCTCGCGAGAGCCGGCGCGGGGGGGGGCGCAGGGCGCGCCCAGACCGTTGTCGTGGGCTCATGGCGGCCGCGGAGGCGGCGACCGCGCCCGACCCCAGCGGGCTCTCCCCGAAGGAGGAAGGGGAGCTGGAAGACGGCGAGATCAGCGACGATGACAACAACGGCTTCGGGCCCTGCGGCGGCGGCTCCCAGTCCGGCGGCAGCCGCGGCAGCGGCAGCAGCAGCAGGCCGTACTCGAGGCGCCGTCCGCCCCCCGGGCTCCACGGGAGCGGCTCCGTGTCCTCCTCCCCCGGGCGGCCCTTCCCGCGATCACGGCACCAGCCCCCGCCCGACACGGGCCACGGGCACGGCCACGGCGGATACCGGCCCAAGGACTCGTTCCGCTCCCACCCGCCTGCGCCGCGGATGCCGCCGGGCTCTCACTCGGAGCCAGGCCCCCGGCTCTCCTTTTGGGAGCGCAGCCACAACGCCCTGGACCGGTTCCGCTTCCGAGGCCGGCCGTACCGGGGCGGCGGGCGCTGGGGCCGGAGCCGAGACTGCAGCGACCGGCCAAGCAACCCTCCGGGAAGGCCGCCCGGAGGGGGTGGCGGCGCCGGGTTCAGTAGCAGCCAGGGCTGGAGGGAGCCCTCGCCTCGGAAATGTATCCTTGAGACCTGGGGGGGGAGCGGGGGCGGGGAGACCGAGCTGCTGCGGTGGGCCTGGGTGTGGCGGTGCCGCGCTACGTGGCCGAAAGCTCTGGGAAGGGGACGCGTTTCCCTCCTGCTCTGGGAGGGGGATTCCCGCAGCGATAACGGAGAGGGAGGTTCCCGTGCCAATCCGGGGGGTTGGCTGGGGCAGCCAGCCCTGCTTCTCAAGGCTGCCGGGAATCCGGATTACCGCCGTGACCTGGCTTGCGACTTGGTCGATCAGTCCCGTGTAGGGAAGAAGAAAAAGCGTAGCCTGGGAGGAAGCCTTTGTCGATTGGATCCCGGGCGGTTCCTTTTCTAGCCCGAAGTGCAGATATTGTGAAGCGGGGTCAGTCTTTGGTGCGGCAGTTTTAATGTGTATAATTAGTGTCACAATTGTAAAGCTAAAACCCTGAGCTTGTTAATTTCCCATATTGGGAAATGAAGGATCTACTGGGGTTTTTTTTTTATTTTTGCTTCCTGCCTTTCAGAGGCTGTTACACGTACGTTTAGCTTTAGTCAGTATTAGCTTAGTTGAACTGGGTCTGCACACGCTAAATGTGTTTTATATGGGAGTTCAAAGGAAAGCCATAGTCAACATTCCTTGTAGGATGTTCTCCACTGACTATTCTTAGAGTTGTTTAGGAATAGAGTTCTGATATTTTGTCCTTTTATGAATGAAAATGTTGGGAAAAGCTCCCCAAATTTTTCTTTTTTGCTATAGGAAGAAACAGAAAAAGGTGATGCTGAGTGTAGCTTAGGGCAGCCTGGTTACTTGATGTAACTTCATTGTTGCCTAACTGAAAATGTAAACAAGTGTACAAACCACTCAGAGAGATGCTGCTTAAATCCTATTCTCCAGAATTTTACAGTGTTTTATTGTCCTCCATACCAGTAGTCACAGGATGTGTGTTTGCTTGACTGTGCTGGTTGATCCTGGAAGCAGGAGTTTTCCCGACTTGTGGCAGCACTTAAGGCTTTAAAAGCTACTCCTTGGATCCTTGTATTCTTTCAGATACAAGATTATTTATCCGTGTAACTTTTTTATTTGTTTAAATGTGGATGGAATATGTAAACTAGTGATAGAGATGCTTTTATTTAATCTTGCCTGGTACAGTTACAGCATTACTTAAGTCTTCGTTGGAACTCTTCATTTAAGGATGCTATCTTGAGCGGCAGCAAGTGAAGAACTGATTTGCCCAAGGTTGCACAGTAAGATAATTCTAGTGCTGAAAATAGATTTTAAGGCTTGTAATTTGGGATGTTGCTCTGAGTAGCTGAAGATGGTTACTTTCTGCCTAAAGAGTAATTTTCAGATAATTTTCAGGGCAAATATATCTATTGTCCTAAACAGACCCTGCAATGTTTGTTAATACTGATACCGAGTCTCCTTCCCACTTTTAATGAAAAGAACTTTTAGAAACTACTAATTCCATTTTCAAACTGAAAGTAGAAAATGAGGAAGTTGGAAGTATTTTTATTCCCGATACTTAAGATTCACTCTTCTGTTTAAACATGGTAGAGAATGTTCTAATATTCTTACTCTTTAATAAGTGAATATTCAGTTTGTGGATCATATAGTTAAAGAGGGCCTATGATTTTCTCTTGATACAGGTTCTTTTCTGTATTTTTCATATCCTTGCCATCTAAAGGAGTCAATATTAAGAATTCCTAAATATTAAGGTACCTCCGTGTTGCTAATATTAATGGAGTAGGGGTGTAGTTTATTGGAATGTGATTTCAGAAGAGACTTTCATATCAGCTGGTACAGGGAGGCTCATGGCCCAGAATTGTATTTGAAGTCCCCCAGGAAAGTAAAATGTTTTAAGAGGCTGAGTCCTGATTTTGGCCAGGAAAGAGTTAATTTTCTTAGTAGCTGGTATAGTGCTATGTTTTCGATTTAGTACCAGAATAATGTTGGTAACACAGTGATGTTTTAGTTTTTGCTGAGTAGTGCCTACACTAAGTCGAGGGCTTCAGTGTCCTGTGATCTTCCAGCAAGGAGATGCAGAGGAAGCTGGTAGTGAGTAAAACTGAGACCCAAACTTGGCCAAAGTCATATTCCATACCACTGAATGTTATGCCCCGTGTATAAACTGGCTGGGAGCCACTGGTGTCTGCTTGGGGACGGACTGGGCATCTGTCAGTGGGTAGCGAGCAGTTGTATTGTGTATCACCTACCTTTCTTGGGCTTTATTCCGCTTTCTCTTTTTGTTATCTTTCTTTTAATTGTAATTTTACTTGGTTTCTATTATTAAACCATTCTGTTTTCAACCCACTTTACCTCAACCCACATTAGCTTTTTCTGAGTCCCCGATATGGAGGGGAGGGGAGAGTGAGAGAGTGGCTGCGTGATAGTGAGTTGCCGGCTGGGATTAAACCAAAATAGTCTGTTAAGACAGAAATTGCTTACTTGCTTTATCCTTGGAACTAGTGCTTTGCACAATGTTTTGTAGGAGTATGTATGTAAGTGGAGTAAAGGACACAGTAGAACGCTTAAAGAATTCTTAGCTTTTAATAGGCTTTTCTCTTTTAATTCCTGGCAACTTTAACATGAAGCTGTTAGATAATCATTCTGCAGTAATTCTTGCATGGAGAATTGTGGAATTTGAGTCTGAAATATGGAACCAAAATGAGACTTTCTATTTCCATTGAATTGTGAACTCTTAATAGTGTACATTTTTCTTTGTTTCTAACCTCCCAGTTTTCCAGTTTCTTCAGTTAGTCCTTTTTTTTGGTTGTAGGATGATGTTTCTCTTGAGTTGATTGAAGCACAATTGTTTTAATGCCTCTCTGCCTTTCACAGCCCTCCATGGAGTCTTGCATTTTGTGTGTAGAACCACATATAAAAATTTTCTACATATGCAAACCACAGAATTTCTGGTTAACATCATTGTGGGAGCCCTAATGATTGTATTATCCTGAGCACAGAAACCATCACAAAATTTTGTCTTATTACCCAACTCTAGATGACTTTAGAAGCTATTGAAGGATTTCAATATCAAATAGTAGTTACTTATTTTTATAAATTATATTGTCACTTAATTAGCTTCTGAATTTCCTGTGACTCACAAAATCACTCATATAGCCGGCCTTTTGAAAGTAGAAGTGTGTTGGAAGTGAATTTGGCAAATATGCTTATTGCATAATTTGGTGTTATACCGCACACAGCTTTTAGTATTTGCAGCCAAATTATAGATTGTTTGATTGCTTTCTGGATTTGATATAGTTTTATCTTTGGTAGTTTATCCTTTTTGGGCTGACACATGAGAAAGTATCGTATAACAAAATGTTTGCTGGTATTATGGAAGTTGCTTTTGTAGGATACATATCAAGATTCTTCATACTTATGTTAGAACTTAACATAGTGAAACATCCAAGTAGTTTGATGCATGTTATGAGCAGAAGACAAATACAAAGTTAATTTCCTCAGAATTCAGTATGTCTGATGTGGGAACAAGCAGAGTCAGTCTGCACCTGCATTTAGTTAATTGGAACCAAATTGGATCAACCTTGGCTAAGTGTTTTGACAGAGAAAATGCTGTGTTTCTCAAAGTGGAAACCCACTGAACGGTCTGCATGTTTTTCTCATGGTGGGACACAGCCACCACATGATGCAAGTGTGAATGTGTGGAATCAAAACACTAGTTTAGGATGATCCTGGGAATTCTGGTTAACTAAAAGACAAGACCAGGTTCTGTTTATAAAAGAATATAAATAAAAGGGAAACGCTGAAAAAGATCTGTGGAGAAATCCCAAAATCAAATTCTGTGTGTGTGTGTGTGCAGCCTCGTTTCTTCAGCACCCATATTTGCCATATCTGACACCTATTTTAGCTTTCAGTTTTAGTCCATTTATTGTTTTAAGGGATGATGTCGATAAAAAAGCATTTTGCGTAACTGGGTCTGAGTCAGCTGTTATCACAGTGAGGTTGATACTGAAAGTTGACTGAGTCAAACCTGGCTTGGTATCCTAAAAGATTTCCTCTGGAGCGTGATTATTTTTCAAGTGTCAGTTTAAGGTGAGAGGAATTGAACCTCTAATATTGAGAACTTTTATTCTGGATGCAGTTGCCTAAGAATATTTCCATCGCCTGTATTCGACAGCATGTTGTTAAGAAAGTCTATCCCTTGGGCATGCGTGGACAATCTTTTCTGAGTAATTAGTAATTCCCAATCCTCTCTAGCATTTTTGAATGTTTTGATTGCCAGTCTCTAGTCACTTTTTTAAGTTCCCTGCAGTTGTTGATTGATTCTTCTGTGCTTTTGCTGAGCTAGATTTACTGCAGTGTGTAATTGTGCTATGGCCAGGTGTAGCATTTTATGAAAGGATAAAATGAGTAAGAATGAATTTAACTAGTCTTTTTCAGAATGTCAGATGGGGAATCAATACTTGAGTTACGAACACTTGAAGTCTGACTTTGTGTGATAGGGAACAATCTCAGCATTACAGCTGTTGTTTCTGGAAGGATGGTGTGAGCAAAAGAGAAGACTTTTCAGCAATTCATTACCTTCTTGTATTAAGTAGGATATTTGAAATTGCTGGTTTGAGAAAATGTTTATTTAAGTTGTCAATATGTAATAATGGTTATATGTTTTTCATGCTGTTTGTATTTATAAAGGATATTTTTCAAGCTAGCCTTAAGGTAAAACAAAAATGTAATAGAATGATCTTAATTTACATTTGTCTTAATTTAGTCTTCAGTGGTACTATCGCCACTGTGTTAAGGTTACACATGTTCTTGTCTTAAATTTCTTGACCAGTAATTCAGCCAAAACTTTTGGAAGGTCCCCATCTAGAAAGCAGAACTACTCTTCTAAAAATGAAAGCTCTGTGGAAGAAAGTTTTGAGGATCTGCTTTTGAAGTATAAGCAGATACAATTAGAACTTGAACACATTAATAAAGATGAAAGACTGGCTTTGAACAACAGGGAAGAAAGTGAACAACAAGATGATGATAAAACAGTGGACACTGGGGACCAAAAAACTGTAGAAAATGACAGTATTAAAACGGATGCTGTAAAAGAAGTACCTCCTGAGGAGAAAAATCCGGTTATGGGCTTTCAGGCATTTGAACTGAAACCTCTCAGACAAAAGCTGCCTACTCCAGCTGAGAGGAGCAGATTAAAAAAAGGCAAAGAAGGCATGAAACAGTCCTTGCAAAAATCTGAAGTTACAGAATCTGGCCAAGGTAAATACTTGTAAAGTTGTTTTAGCTTGTAAAGTTCTATTTGCTTGCTATTATTATCATAGTATTTATTAGGTGTTGGGGAAAATTTTACTTTATGAAAATGTTAAAATTTCTAAGTTAAAGGTTTAATGTACTTTTGTGTTTTGTAATTCCTTCAATTACATAAACATGCTTGGTAGCATGTTTTTCATTTTTTTTTGTTTTAAATAATGTATTTTCTTAGACTGATAGTTTGGCAGAAAGCATGAGGACAGGACTTGAAGGTTTTAATTGTTCACGGTAGAAATCGTTGACTTTTCACTGCAAGTTTTACTTCTGCTTTTCCCTTGTTCTTTCTTGCAGAAGCAAAATGTGGTTAATTTTTAGCTGAAAAGAGAACATTTAGAGACCTCTTTTTCTGCATTTCATCTTTGTTTGCTTTCTTTAGTCTTTATAAGATATTTTCACCAGGATTATTTTGATCATTATTGATATCCACGAGTAGTGAAGAAATCATAGGCCAGGAGTAGAAAAGGTTTGTGTAAGAAATGCAGCCAAAGGGTAGAGTAAGTGTCTTGTCAAAGATAGTTCTGGACTGCAGACCAAAGAGTGTAATTGCTCAGATGCATTAACCAGTTCATGAGAAACAAGTGGTTGTGTCCAGCTGACCTGTGGTAAAAGTCCTTGAGCTTACTACTAAGTCTGCAGCAAAATAAGACAGCTGTCTTCAGCTCCCTACTCTAAGGCTTCATGTAGTTCTAATAAGTGTTCGCTGTGGTTGAGGGTGGTGCTTGTGGATATCACTTGTCATCTGATGTTAAGTAATTTGTCAGTGTGTGTCAACTGCCAATTTGAGTGGGAAGAGACATAGTGAATGAGTGGATTAAGAGCACTGGTGTGTAATTAGGAACGTGAAGAAAGGTAGGACTAGAGCACCAAAAGTCAGAATGACTTATGTGTAACTTCAGAATGAGACTTAGGAAGACAGAACCAATAAAGAAAAGAAGAGAAAACTGATAATTAGTAATCAAACCACCTTATTCTAGGTAATTCTTCCCTCTTGTGTATTTCCTATTAATAAAAAGAAAAAATAATTCTGATATTCTTTAAGAGGTAATATAGTTTTTATTGGCAGACATGAAGAAAACCAATGAATTTTTGCCATAGAAGAAGAACTAGTAGCCTACGGGAAGACAACATAGCAGGGCAGGAGTAAAACAACTATTTAAAAAGCAAAACAGTCTCAGAAAAAAATCCAGCTTCAGAATGTAACAGTACTGAAATTGAGAATACAGTTCATACAATAGTGAAAATAGATGCTATAGTATATATAGATTATATATATGCTATATATATTATATACTATCCTATATGTATATTATATAGATACTTTAATAGATGCATATTAAGAGCATTTAATTTTTGGATGCCGCTCAAATGCATGACATGTGAATGATCTGAAAGCAGAGAGATTATGTATGAGTGCCTGTTTATGGCAGTGTAATACAGCCTTCCAAGGAAAAAAATCATCTGATTTGAGTTTTTGCAAATTCACATGTATCAAGTGAATGTATGCTATATGATTATGCATGTTTTGGGAAATCAGCAAAATTTGATTTTCCTGTTATATTTAAATGGTGTACTGGATGTTTCTACAGACCTGTAGCATTTTTTAAGTTTCATTTTTGTTTAGGTGTAATGTCTTGATATGTTTTAAACAGTGCCTTTCTGAGTGTGCCTTTCATAAAATGTTAGGAAGAGTAAAAGCTGTACAGACTGCAAATTTATTTTCTACCAATTTGAATTATGGGAAGGAATCTCTCTTTGAAGAAAGACTAATATAGGAGAAGAACACCAAACGTCTCTAAATGTGTACTTCCTTCCTCTGGTGCATAAAACATATATATCTGTGGTTAAATAAAAATTATGTAATTATATATTTACCATCAATTATATTAATAATTATTGGCTATAATAATTATGTAACACTATTATACACAGCATTATGTATGTTATATATAAACCAGTATGTTAATATGTGTGTACATACATTACAATAATCAGATTGTTATATTGTGGGGAGTCAAACAAATTAATATGTCAATATCTAAATGTTTAGTGGGATATCATTACTGTTTACTGTTCATTTATATAGGATAACCTTTTTCTGTTTCCATTTGGTGTGAAATGGAGCAAGTGTGTTCTTACTGCAGCTTTGGGCCCTTATATTTAATTCTGCCAAAGAAAGACCAGTTACTCAAAATAGCTGCCAGTGGAATATGAGATGCTCAGGACAGCAGCTGATACAAGGTGGTAGTATAAAACAGATGGCAAGAAGTCTTCTTTTTCCCTTCTCTCCAAATCCATTTTTCTCTGCTTCTTGGGGAAGTACCTACCAACCTTAAGGCAGAGAATTATTAAGAAATGACAAATACTGCCTTGAGCTTATGGTGTTATGATGATGTGGATTTCATCAGACATGCCCAGTTTATGGGAATGTTTGTTAATGTGATCTTACATGTACATCTGCTATTCTGTTTTAGACTATGTATCAACTATACTGATAAAATAGGTTTGTATAGATTAAATTTTGCATATCGTTTTAATGTGACTCTGCCTCTTGAGAAACAGCTTGCTCAAAAGTGTGGTATTTTTATTTTTGAAAGGTACAGAAGACAAAGAACAAACATCAGTGCAAAAGCTTAGCAGTTCGGATGTAACATCTGAAAAGGTAATGAAGTATTCCTCCATAGGTGAGGCATGATGGCATTGTGATACTCTGATGCCTTTTTCCAAATGGCAGTCTAGAAATGTCCCAGTAATAGAAGCAGTTAATTTTCAACAAGTGACACTTATTAGTAAAGCAGGATTTTTAAGCCTTCTTTTGATAAAAACATTTGGGAAAGACTTCAAAAGACCTTGTAAAGAAAAAACTATTAAATGATGTTTCTTGACTTTTTATCTTGTCCTTTCTTCTGTTTTCTTCTCAAGAAGCTGCTTGATGATGAGGAGGAGATGTCTGAGTTGCAACTTAGACTTCTTGCACTTCAGTCTGCTAGTAAAAAATGGCAGCAAAAAGAACAACAGGTGATGAAGGAAAGCAAAGAAAAATTAACAAAAATGAAAAGTGTAACGCAGAAAGTCAAAGCCAGTACAAAAGCACATTCGACGAAAAAACCTAGTGCTACAGGTAATAAGTTTAATGTTACTGATATGGCTGTCAGTGGCATGGCCTCAAAATACCCCCTGTTTCTTGAAACCTTGAGCAATGAGCCTTTAGTCGTTTTAAACCCCGGTACGTCTACTCAAAACTCGTGAATCTAGGATTAGCTGGAACCAATTAGATAAGGTGGAGTTAATCATGTATCTTTTTATTTAAAGGCAAGCAAGCTGTGAGGAAACAACAGACAAAGACATCAAAGAAGATACAGCAGCAAAAGGAGCTAGACAGGCGTCAAAAAGAGGAAGATCAGAGGAAACAAGAAGAAGAAGAGGAGAGAAGAAAGAGAGAAGAAGAAATCAGAAAAATTAGAGACCTCTCAAATCAAGAAGAGCAGTACAATCGATTTATGAAGCTAGTTGGAGGAAAGAGGAGATCAAGAAGCAGGGTAACGAATTTTGTTACATAGTGTTCAGGTGTTACATTTAGGATTCAGGAATGATTTCTGTCTTGCCCTACCTGGTTCTATGTGTCACCATCCCATCTATATCCCCCCCCTTTTTTCTCTCTGCTGTCCCTACCCCCAGAATAACCAAACCAGAACAACAAAAGAAAAGCTCCAAATATTTCAGTATTTACAGTGTTTTAATCCCATGCTAGATGGGCATTCCCTTTAGGTTTGGAAAATCAGTTTTGTATGAGTTGTACATTTGCAAGTCAATGGTAAAGCGTGTTTCTCCTAGAGACGCTTTGGATGTTGTGATCAAGGAGCAGTCTGTAATTTAACACTAACTGATCCATGAAACTTTCTTGTCTCTCTTCTCTTGGATTGCAGGGTTTTTTTCTCCACATTTTCAAACTTCTTCTGTCTATACTTCAGTGGCCTGCTTCTTTTGAAATGTCGTTTGAGGGTTTGGTTTCTTTGTAGTATTTTTTAATAGTAGTATTTCAGTTATTTTGTCAGGGCATAACATATGCTCAGACACAAAAGATAATTAATTACTTTAGGCCTGCTACAGAATGACAGACTTCTGTGAAATTTATGAAGTAATAGAGTTACTGCAGTGGTTGTAATGCTGCACTTGTAGGCTGTTCTCATTCTTTCATTTTGAGATTAGCAAAAGGCACTTGATTAACTAATGTTCTGTCTCTAAAACATTGGTACATTACAGAAAAAATGACTGTTTCTTCAGCATTCTTTCATCATGGAAGCAGTACAACTGCTGTAGCTTGATGCTTGAAGTGCTTGGAGCTACTGATGTTGTAAGGAGAAATGAAACAGCATCTAGGAGAATTGGGACTCCCTGTTTGAGGTCATGATATAGAAGAGTGTTTTATTATAAATATTTAATTATAATAATACTGAGTGGAAAATTGAGACTAAAAATGTTTGACTGTAAACAGTAGGAATTCTAAAAGCTACCTAAGTGTCTCCTGTATGCCTCTGAAAGATAGAAGCTGAGGAATCTACGAAGTCATACTTAGGTGTTCTGCATATATTTGGTGCTGAACATTGATTGGCATCCATACAGTGTTAGGAGTTCTTTAAATAATCTGATTTATGAGTTGGCAGTTTCTGGGCTTGTCTCAGAGTGGTACATGGCTCCTTGTGGGACAGTAAAAAGATTCTCTACCTGAGAATTGTTTCTAGGAAGTGTAGCTCAAGTGGTTTTGGTAGTTGCCATGACAGATTAACAGAAATAATAAAGCATTTAATTCTCTTGCAGCGTTTCAGAAATATATAACCTTGCCAGTTTACCAAATATATAATTGCCTAATAAGTATTTAAAAATTTCTTCTGTCCATCATGACCCCCTCTCCCCATCATCCTGGAAGAGATCTAGTTTTAAAACTGTTAATTTGTCCAGTCACTACCTGTGATAGATTTGATTAAAAGGTTTGTTCTTTTTGTACAAGAAAAATAAATTGTATTTCTAAAGCAATAAAAGACAAAATTGTAAGGGCCTTTTTCCAAAATATACTTCTTAGCGGTTTGTTCTGACATAATAATGTAAGACCAGCTAAATAAAATACTTTCTTTGTGTATTTAGTCTTCAGATACGGATTTGAGATGGTCTTTGGATAAGCAATCTACAGAAAGTGCAGGAGGCATATATCAGTATGATAATTATGATGAAGTTGCTATGGATACAGATAGTGAAACTAACTCACCAGGTAAGACTGATTTACAGTTTTCTTCTGGAGTGATTGGTGAGAATAGGTTAAAAGCAGGAAATAAGCCATTCTTTTAGAAAGAAGGTGTTTCAGATGTCTCAGTTCTAGAACTAACATTTTAAGGTGAGCTAATTCTGTTTTAACGTTGACTCTTTCCATCTCTGCTGGAGTGGTATTTTTTAAGGTCTGCAGGGTTATACTGTTGTCATTGTAGTGCTGTAGGTTTTATTCTTGTGCGCTCCTAAGCAGCTGTTGCAGGAAGTGAGGTTCCAGGCTCTTGACTGGATAGACAGCAGCTTTGCAAGAAAGGGGAGGGGTGTCCTGGTGAACATGGAGTGACATATGGGTCAGCACTATGGCTTTGGGTGATAGAGGCCAGCTGTCACCTGCACTGTAGCACTGTGACTGTGAAGGGTTGGAGGGGGGCTGTTAAACACTGAGACACTGGCAGCTTTCTGGTTTCACAGTAGGAGAAAGAGAGTGACATACTAGAAAGAGCCTAGCAAAGGACCTTTTTGACTAAGTGAAACTGTTTCAGGCCTGTTTTTCATAGAGTTCATTGTGAGACTGGAGCATTTGGCTGATGGGAAGAAGACCAGGAGAGCTGAATTTGTGTTAAGAAGGCGTGGGAAAGCTTTTGCTCCTGTCTTCAACTACTTAGTGGGCAGTTACAGAGAAGGCAGAGCCAGACTCTACAGTGGAGTGGGCAACAGAAGGACTAAGAGCAACACTTAAATTGTAACAAAATAACTTCGGATTAGATATAAGGGAAAACTGCACAGAAGATGGTCACGTACTAGGACAGGTTTACTGGAAATGTTGAGGAATCTCCATCCTCAAATATACTTGGAACTTGACAAGTCCCTTAGCAGTCTGACTTTGGGGGCAGCCCTTGTGCTGGGACATATATCTCTTTCAGAAGTCTCTTTCAGCCTAAATCGTTTATTGACTCTTGAGTTTGAGATGCATTTTAAGGTTTCCGTGTTCCATCTCAACATATGGCATATTGAGAAAATGTCACTAAGCATACTACTTGATTGACTACTTTTATTCTCTTGCTTTACATCTTCCACCTTTTTTTTCCTTCTTATTTCTTTTTCTTCTTTCTTGTTCTTCCTACGTTACTTTGCTAAAGTACCACACCTGCTACTTTGTGAGCTAAATGAATCTTTTCTTGATAAAGTATCTCAAACTCTAGTTTTATGTTTCAGAATTTATCAGCTGTGCTGTTCTGTCCTAGTTTGTATTGTGTTGTATTTTTGGTGGCCAGTAATCAGGAGACTGAGATAGCTTGTTTTAAAAGGTAAATTCTTGCAAATTAAATCCAATATGAGGGCTAAGTCATTACCTTAGCAGTACTATTTGGCTGTACTTACACATTGTATGTAAAATAGAAAAAGTTTTTTTTATGTACATAAATGTAAGAAATAAATGCATTGTACTATGTCTGGTGTTACCTTTGAAATTGGTGCATAGTGAAAACATTTGTCTCCTGCTACATTAAATCAGTTGAAGTATAAGCATGAGTTGCTGTTTAGTAAATACCTGTCAGATTTCTTACACTCAATATTTTTTTTTAATTGCAGCTTCTTCCCCAGTGCAGCCTCCTTACTTTGAATGTCCAGTAGGATATTTTCCACCTCCAGTACCACCAATTTCTTTGCCACTACCACCTCCAATTCCAGTAAGTAACCTTGAAAGGAGTATGCTTTTGAAAATGTTGATAATTCTCATTTCTGATTTATAATGCTAAAGTTAAGATTAAATTTAGATTCTGTTTTTGATTTGATGACTCCCTTGAACTGTCTGGTAGACTTACAGTTGCTTTTTTAAAACTTCTTTTTAATCTGTCTTTTGGCTGATCCAATTCTTGTTTAATGTAAGTTTTCTCTATTGAATTAAATTTTTCTTTTTGTTGTTAGAAGCTGTGCTTTTTCACACAGAAAGTGAAAGTTGTCTGAAGTACATAAGGAAAAAGAATGAATTGGAACTGTTAGTATAAGGCAACTTTGCCTCTTATCTCTAGGCCATATGTGTAGATAAGCTTGTTCTCTGACTTTTTGCCTAGA